GATATGGCAAGCTGAGCTGATGAAACCAGCCAATCGCTACCACGGTCATCGTTTTCCCCCCGAAATCATCAGTACAGCCGTTTGGCTGTTGTCGAAGTCCACACAAGATGGCATAAAAGTCCGATCAAGATGGCAGTACCCGTTATCTGAGGGGGATTGTCAGGTTAAACCCGTCGTGTTGAAATGAGCCAATGAAATCGCGAAGCCATTATCACCGCCACCGGTACCCCATCGACATCATCAGCCGATGTGTCTGGCTGTACTTTCGATTCAGCCTTAGCTACCGGGATATTGAGTTGATGATGGCTGAACGCGGGATCACCGTGAGCTACGAAACGGTCCGCGCATGGTGTAGCAAATTCGGCAAAGAATACGCAAAACGACTACATAAAAGCCGCGGTCCTGTCGGTGATACGTGGCACTTGGACGAAGTCTATTTGAAGATTGATGGTCGATTTCAATACCTGTGGCGAGCTGTTGATCAAGAAGGCCAGGTGATTGATGTTTTGGTGCAAAGTAAGCGAGACACCCGCGCTGCATCTCGATTCTTTCGCAAGTTGCTTGGAAACGAAGGCAGCTTACCGCGACGAATCGTCACGGATCGATTGGGCAGCTACCGAGCCGCACTGCAGGCAATTATTCCGGACGTCTTGCACATCCAAGACAAGGGAGCGAACAACCGCGCTGAGAACTCGCACAAACCAACCCGGGAGCGTGAACGGCGACGCTGTCGATTTCGATCAGCGTCAGAAGCGCAGCGATTTCTTTCCACGTTCTCGGCAATCTCAAATCAATTTCGTCAGGGCCGCCACCTAATCACCCGTAGAGGAAAACAAAGATGTCACTTTTGCGAGGGTAAAGATGTCACTTCGCAGCCCAGCTGCTTGCAAATCTGGGTGAAAGGCGGTCCCACGTTGAATCTAAATCAGTAAATCCATCGATATCTGTTAACTCGCCCGACTGATCGTCGCCGGTGGCGATTAATAACCGCCCGGGTCACGGCAGTTCGATCGATTTTGCTTAGCGGCCGGTGTAGGTTGGAGCTCCACTGTCCCATCGGGCGGCTACAGTGCCCACAACGAAATGGAGAGCCTAGCAACAGCGCATCGAGGTGGTAGTCCATGCGCTTGTTGCAGTCTCGGCAGACTTCTTCGAGCCAGTCGCCGTGTATCGGGCATTGATCCGTACCAAGGCGCTGATGGACGATGCCGTGATACCCACGGTTCAGGCACCGTCGACAATAGCGTAAGACCGGGCTCTGAGCAGCCGTAGCGGCCTTAGTCAACAATGCTGAGCGAACCGTCTTCTGCAGCACTCCAAGTTGTTTCGCAAGGCGGCGGACAGGCACCTCATCGGTATTGGGGAGAATTCCCGTGTACGGATCGATCGGATGCGGTGTTAGCTGTGGAACTAGAAGATGGCCGGGCAGGGCGTTCGCTTTGGCAAACTTCCAAAGAATGCCGACAATCGATTCATAGGGTTCGACCCATTTGGCATTAAAGACATAGCCCAATGATGGTGAAAGCGCGCCTTCTTCGAAGGTCAAGATTGGCAGTGTCATTGACATCAGCTCATCGCGGGCGTGAGGACCTCACTGAGCGCCTGGCGGGCCTGCGTATAGCCACAGTTCTGCACCGCCGCTCGCCAGATGGCAGGATCGGGAGAGTTACCGCTACCATCCAATCCGTTTCCTTCCTTCAAAACGATCTCAACAGCACGCGCAAAGGAATCCATTGGTATTTGCAGCTCACCAGGCAAACCATGTTGTTGATGAATATGCTCAAAGTTCTCCCAAAGTGTCTGGGCATCATCGACCAGGCGGTAGCCGCCTGCGACGGCGTTCGGCAAGTAGAACCGGGTAAAACTCCATTCACCCCCACGAGGATATGCGGTCGAGTCGTAACCATGCAGGCAGGTCGCAACATCCCGTAAGTTGCGCACTCCAAAAAACGCCAACTCTTCCACCATCAGACGTGCGACGATCTGCGTCTTACGGGCTTGCTGGAAGGCAGTCTTGACCGAGCGAAGCTCTTGTTGTCCGACCAGAAACGTAAAAAGGCGAATATGCAGGCGATCGAGTTGATCATGGACGTCGCGCAGCCATTCGTATTCGTTCTCGGTGTAGCGTTGCGCTTCGTCACAGAACAGCACTACGGTGCCGCTGCCGTTTCGAGCACAGGATTCGCGAATCTTGTTGATGAGCCGAAGACGCTTGGTTGGGTTCGTGCCGCCATCGGGATCTGGGAAGCCGACGGCTTGCAGCAGATTCGCGAAGAAAGGGCCCTCGGCGTGCCGGGGCTTATGTTCGGCCTGCGCATGATAGGTGGTGATCTTCGGATCTGTCTCGGACAAGAGCAGCCGGAGATACTCGATTGAGCGCGTCTTGCCAATTCGTGATGGTCCGTAAACCAAGGCACCAGTGATGCGGTATCGAAGGCATCGCTGAATGAGGTCGTAGAACGATTGGATCGCCGCGGTTGCAACCCGGTAGTTCCCAGTTTCTACGGGATGCAGGGCGGGGTCGATGGGATGTGAAACGGTAAGGGACTTGGCACTGGCCATAGTAAGACTCCGAATAAGACGGACTACAAGGTGCCGACATATCCCGTGCCGATACTCAAAGTCTCCGGTTCGATGCGAACGCGGTTGGCATTGAGCGGTTGCTTGGCCAACGGCGCCTTAACAGGGGACGTTGCTACCTTCGGCATGGGGTCAGCATTAGAAGGACCTTGATCCATCGTGCGCAAAGTTTGTGCCAGATCACTTGCCGCTCGTCGTTTCTTGCGAGCTTGTCCCTGCTTACTGGCGAGAAACTGATTCAGGAATCCCTCGCTTAGTGCCTCGGTGAGTTGTTTGCGTCCGCGCAGGCGGATGATCTCCTGGCGTAACTTCAAGTCATGCGCGACTGAACCCCAGGAACCCTGCGCCGTTAGTGTCCCGAGGTCTGCACCGTCATCGGTAAAGACGCGAACAGTCCGCATATCCTGCGTGCTGTAATAGACTCGAAGTGATTGCCCAATAAATGTTGGAGTGCTGGCTAACACTTCATTGGTGTATCGCACGCCAAAGAAATTGATGTGAGGTCTTTGACCTTGGTGCAGATAGCCACGAACTCGCACCCGGCGAGGTTCGTGCATGAGAAACAGCGTTCGGCGCTTGTCTTCGGGTAGCCAGGTAAGCATCGTGCCGTTGCCACGAATGCCGTATTCCACCGCTTCCAGCGGGGTGCGCCCGTTTAGGCCGTCATGGGGTGTACCGTTGTACTGACCGATCGCAGCTTCTACTAGTTCTTCTAGCTCATTCAGTGAGACCATCAGACGTAGATCGCCCTTGGGACGAGTCAACGCACGGCGTAAATCCTTCGGGTGAGAACCAGTGTAGCCAGGCAGTCGGGACGACAGGTTCTCACTGATCGTTCTGAACAGCCGTTCAATGTACGGGCGGTCATCGGGAGTGTGAGTTGGACCGGCATCAATGAAGCAGCCGACGAATTGCGTCAATGTTGAACGAACATCGGCGGACAAGTTTGCCTTGGCGTTGTCGAACTTGAGCCACTGCCAGGTGGCGTATCCCAGCTCCGGAAAGTGACTCGATGGAAATCCACCGTTGGGGCCGTAGGTGAGCCCTGGCATCGTAAAGGTCGTTCGCCGATGCGGTGACAGGGCGTTCTCGATGGTTCGGATGACATCATGGCGCGAGTACTCGCGGTTCAGGCTCAGGTGATAACCCAGCACTGATCGAGTCTTAACATCGATGATCGCCAGAAGCCAGAGTCGTTCGATCTCAAAAGACTGCTCGTAACCCTGCGGGTCTCGAACGACGATCTTCAAGCGCAGATCCAGGCGGTGCCCATCAAACTCTACAATCTGCAGAGGCTCAATGGCGGCGGGTGCAGTCTCCGTTGGTAAGCCCTTCGTATGTTCTGCTCCAGCCAACCGAGCAGCCCTGCCGAACTCGCGTAGGCAAAGGCTCTTCGCGGCAACAGACAAGGACCGCACGCCTAAGCGGTCGGTATTGAACGGGTACTGTGCTGATGAGATTCCCTGGACGCGACAGTGACTGATGAAGTCTTGATGCAGGTGCTTAAGGCCTAGCAAACGCGTTTGCAACTTGCCCAGTGAGCTGACTTGCTTGATCCGGACCTGTCGTCGTTTGATCCGTTGTTGCAGCCAGTGGCGAAGGGGTGGGTGCGACTCAAGAAGTTCGCTGAAGGCGCCTGCCATTCCAACTGGCTCAGATGAATATCGGTCGGTGGATTTAAGGCGTCGGTAAGCGTTCGTGCGGGTCTGTGGGACCAATGCCCGCCAACCCCAGATCCGACCGTCGGAGTGAATGCTCAACGCCCGGTCCAGGCAGCGATAAATCTGTCGGCGGTCAACTTGTGTTGCATCCTCGATCGATGCAAGCAACTCGCCATGCGCGTAGAGCGTGACCGCTTCCCGCTGCGCGTCAAAACGGCTTCTTACTGAATCAGACAACGCATTGGCGTCAAACGTTGGCCAGTCGGAGACATCCAGAACAGAGCCCTGTCGACGCCGTACAGTCATTGGACAGGCTCAATCAAGGTGTTCAGGCTCAACGGGTAGCGCTCGAGACCTGGAGAGGTCAGTCTGCCAACGCGAAGAAGTTCGAAGATGGTCGCGCGTACAGTTGCGACGTCTCGACCAGAGAACTGGCGTTCGATTCGAGCGAGTGCGATAGGGCTCGTCACAGCCTGACAGATCTCGTCCAGCAATACAGTGGATATCGAAGAGGACGCCGCATTGATCGTCGTGATGAGTCGTTGCCAGTTCCGAACATGAACGTCATGTGCCGTTCGCTCGGCCAACGGGATCTGCGCCAGAGGCAACCCCAATACCTGCTCTGGCAGATCCGGATCTCGGTCGCCTGGCATCAGCAAAACAAGCTCTTCATCATCATCTGACTGCACCCAGAAATCGATGGCAATCGGCTGCCCATTCACGACAGCACTCGCCGGTCGTTCGCAAGAACTAGTCACACGTGGATCGGCTTCCAGGCGGATCCAATGCTCAAAGACGCTACGTCGAGTGAATTGCATGGCCCGTGCCAGCTTGGGGCTAAAACCCTGGAGCAAACGGGCGCCACGAGGCCGAACAAGCGGCCTTGGCGATTCAAAAGGTGATGAAGAAATGTCCATGAATCAACACCTTACCAAGGCTCGGCGGAGATTCAAACTGGCAGATATGAAGTGACATCTTTGCTTCGCGCAAAGACGAAGTGACAACTTTACTTTCTAATTTGCGAGGGTAAAGTTGACACTATTGGGCGGAAAATGACGGAATAGGGCGATTGCGAAGTGACATCTTTAGTTTCTTCTACGTCAAACCCACGGTCAGGCCATGACGGGCTGACTTAAACGAAACGGCCTCCTCGAAATCCGGGGCGGTTCACTCGGTAGTGCCGCGCTCAGGATGACCACGGCCACGACTTTTGATATCCAACTGCCCGAAAAACCTTGGATGAATTCTGAAAGCCTATTCATGATATCGCTCCAAGGCTCTTCAAATACTCCTCCGAGCTATTGACCTGCAGTCGGACCCACATTGCCTGGTGATCCGAGATCTCATAGGTACGCCATGTCTCGAAAGCTCGTTGGTCACCGTTCTGTTCTTTCAGGTACCGTTCCTCGTCCTCCGCTCGATAGACTGACTCAAACGGATCAAACACGCCGGCATTGCAGTCACGTGGATCGTCACAAAAACGATCCACGAACTCCAACACTTCCTGGCGCGTACCAAAGGCGATCTGGTCGTAGTGGCTGGTCTTCTTGCTGTTGCTTGGCTTCTTTCGGAGTGCCTTCGGGATTTTGAACCCCTGCCCTTCGAGCGCCGCCATCGTCTTGTGCTTCGGCGAGATGATGTTGAAGTCCCCGAGCAAAATTAGCGTCCGCTCATGCTCACTAAACTCTTTCGCCGATTTGGTTCCGAAGTAGCGCGCAACTGCTTCAATCTCAAGACGCCGCTGCTCCAGCTTCTCCCCATAGTTCTTACCGAAATAGATATGCACGGTACAGAGTGCAAACTTGAACCAACCTGACTGGAAGAGTGCCACGTACGGTGTTCGGGCGAACTGCAATCCTGTCTTGGTTTCCGCTGAAATCAAAGCACTTGGCGGCAACACAAGCTCACCAGCAATGTTTTGGAAACTAACTTTTCGGCGGTCAAACACGTAGGTCAGCCGCTCGCCGTTGCCACCGTTCTCTCGGTCAGCTTCGTCAGTTGCGATGTAGTCCCAGTCAGGACCCAAGATGTACATGATGCGCTCCCACTCTTTGAGCGCATTCACCTCTTGGATTGCCACGATATCGAAGCGTGAAATTACCTCAGCAAGATAGAACAGGGATTCAGGCAAGCGCCGCCGACTAGTCTTGGTAAGATCACGAATGTTCCACGTCGCAAGGAGCAAATGTTGTTCTGAGTCTTTCGCTGGAATCTGCGCGTCAAGCCGCTGCCTGAGTCGCCGCAATCCCGCAACAGCACGCCGCCTGGTTCGCTTTGTGAACTCGGATCCTTTGAGGAGGTGGTAGCGCATGCGAAGCCCCTCCTATTGACTCGCGGTGGTCGTCGTCAGGCCGTCAAGGCATTTCTTCTCAAGTGCTGCCCGCGCGCTGAAGAGCTGTTCCTCCACTTTCTTTCGAGCTGCAAGCTCTTCGGTTGCCAGATCCTGGTCCTTTCTATCCTTGTCACTACTTGTTCGTGATGCATACGGATTCCCGAACCGATCAGGGTCCGCCAAGTAGTCGAAGCACCACTCGTGGAAGTAGTCGCGCTTCTGCGTCTGCTTTACGATATCTACCACTGCCTTTGAGATAACCTCAGCGGTCTCCGGCGTGAAGGCTCGATTAACCGGTATATCGTTCGCGAACAAGGTGGTCCCGACCTGCCGCGCAGCTGCGCTACCGATCGCCTTCTGAGCTTCCGTCAATTCTTCGAGCGCGGCGGTGTGTTTCGCGACCTCCGCTTCAGCCTCAGTCAACGCCGCGTCCGCTGCTTGTTTCTCGGTCCGGACAGGCGCAAGAGTCTTATCGAGATACTCCTTGGCAGCCTTTTGACCTTCCTCGCCCTCGACGGCTTGAAGTTTGTTGTACTCCGCCTCGAGTGGCTCAAGCTTCTCCGCTACCGCCTGCTGTTCCGTCTTCTTCTCGCTCAGCGTGCCTTCAGCGTCAGCCTTCAGTTTGGTTGTCTTGTCGACCCAGTCCTTGAGACTCTCGATGCCACGCATAGTTACCGATGAAGCCTCGCTGCTAATGGCGACCTGCTTTGCGACCACCGGGCCAGTCAGTTGCTCGATTGCGAGAAGCGCCAGCATAGTGTCTTGGTAGCGCCGCTGAGCTTGACCGAACCTGATGTGGTCGTAGGCGCCCGAGGCGTAGGCCTCGCAGGTTCGATACATCGCGTCTCGCAATAGTTGAATCGATTGGGTGCGGAGACCGATCGACCCCACGCTCTCTTGTGTTCCGAACGCCGTCTGCAGGGCCTTTTCGACGACGGTCGCATTCAAAGAGCCCGAAGAACTGAGCGCTGAGATAGCGTCCGGACTTGGCTCGGCGCAAATCACCGGCCAGTCGATCATTTGCTGCGCGCGCGAGCTCCACACCCGCTTCTGAACGGTATAGATAGCGCGCTGCTTGGCGTCGATGCTGATGCCCTTGCCGCCGACTGGCTCAAAGTCGTGGTGTACCGACATCAAGTTAGCGCACGCTGAAAGTACTAGCGCTGTCGCTATAACAGTTGCTGTTTGCCCGCAGCGCTGCGATGACATCATCCCCATGATCGTTTCCTCGTTCGTCGATAGGGTCATGATGCTCCACTCGACAAGACGGTTCAATCGTCAGGATTGATGAGCCCTACCCCAAAGCGGGGGTAGTGGCACACTCGTGCAGAAAGTAACGTTAGAGAATCGTAGAGGAAAACAAAGATGTCACTTTTGCGAGGGTAAAGATGTCACTTCTCAGCGCAGCACCTCGGAAGCGCAAGTTTCAGGTGACACTTTGTTGAATCTAAATCAGTAAATCCACCGATATCTGTTAACTCGCCCGACTGATTGTCGCCGGTGGCGGTGAATGGCAGATCGGGTCACAGCATTCCGATCAATCTTGCTCAGCGGCCGGTGTCCGTTGGCGCTCCACTGCCCCATCGTTCGACCACAGTGCCCACATCGAAATGGGGAACCCAGCAGTAGTGCATCCAGGTGGTAATCCATACGATTGTTGCAGGCCCGGCAGACTTCTTCTAGCCAGTCGCCGTGTATCGGGCATTGATCCGCCCCAAGGCGTTGGTGGACGATGCCGTGATACCCACGGTTCAAGACCGTCGACAATAGCGTATAACTGGGCTCTGAGCCGCGGTAGCGGCTTTGGTCAACAATGCTGAACGAATCGTCTTCTGCAGCACGCCAAGTTGTTTCGCAAGACGGCGAATAGGGACTTCATCAGTATTGGGGAGGATTCCGGTGTAAGGATCGATCGGATGCGGCGTTAACTGCGGCACCAATAGGTGGCCGGGCAGGGCGTTCGCTTTGGCGAACTTCCAAAGAATGCCGACAATCGACTCATAGGGTTCGACCCATTTTGCATTGAAGACGTAGCCCAACGATGGTGACAGCGCGCCTTCTTCGAAGGTCAAGATTGGCAGTTGTGTCATTGGATTCAGCTCATTACGGGCGTGAGGACTTCACTGAGTGCCTGGCGTGATTGCGTGTAGCCACAGTTCTGCACAGCAGTCCGCCAGATAGCTGGATCGGGAGAGTTACCGCTGCCATCCAATCCGTTTCCCTCCTTCAAAACGATCTCGACGGCCCGAGCAAAAGAATCCATGGGTATTTGCAGTTCGCCTGGCAATCCGTGTTGTTGGTGAATATGCTCGAAGTTCTCCCAAAGGGTTTGCGCGTCGTCGACCAGGCGGTAGCCGCCGGCAACGGCGTTCGGTAGGTAGCCTGATTCGACCATTTTGGTGTCTCGCCGAAACAGGCTCCTGAATGCGAATTGCAGAGATCTAGGGCTGTCGCTTCTGGCCAGATTCGATTGCCGTAAAGCTACTTGCTGCCTTGCCGGGAAGGTGAGTCATGCGTGGTTGCTACCATGTTTTGACCCATGGACCGCTCGCGGACTGAAAACAATTCAGGATCAAGCTTTGACTTGGCATGAATCTCGATCAGCTGTGAAGCCACCTTGTGACCTTGCTCGCCTTGCCAGAACGCGAGCTCGGCGCGAGAGATCGCCAGTTTTTCGGCAACGTCAGCCTCTGTGCGGTTCATTATGACCTGATGCTCTCCTTGGGCTTGGGCGAGGTCTTGGTGGAATTGGTTTTTAGTTCGTTGGTCGTGAACCGTTTTTAGCTTGAGCTTGTAGGAGATTGCGATCAGATCGAACCAGAGCACCACGAGGAAGACAAGACCGGCCAATATCGCGATGACGAGTTCGTTGTTGACCGCCCGCCAGAGCCCCCGCATACGAGCTGCCAGGTCGGGGGTGGTGTAGGCGATGGCGACTGCGTTGTTGCGCTGAACTTCTTCAGCAAATCGCTTAACCGCCGTTTGGTGGTTCTCCTGCGAGGTATTCAGGTGAGTGAGTGCTTGATCTCGAGCGGCAATCAATGGCGCAAGATAGGCTTGGCGAGCTTGTCGGTACTTCGCGTCGGTTTGGCGGCATTTTTTATCCTGGCGTGCCATGGTCGCTTCTTGGTTGGCAATCTGTTTGGTGAGGCGTTCGATCTCTGGTGCGTTTTGGCGAGGGTTATTTGACCCGGTGGATTGTTGCAAGTGAACGAGTTGCGCCTTAGCGGCCTCGATTTGTTGGGCGCCGGATTTGCGGGCAGCACTTCTTGCCTGCCAGCAACGACCGTTTCTACGATGCAGGGCGAGTAGTTGTTTTGGGTAGTGTTTCTTGTCGAGTCGTTCGCGCGCCTTTTCGGCGGCTTTCTCGGCGTTTTCTAATGCCGACTCTGCTCCCTCGATGTCGACCACTCGGTGCGCTTTTGCCCTTGATGACTCCAGCAACGCCTGGCGCTCTTGGTGCGTATGCAGCAAGCTTGCTTGTTCGAACAGCACTGCGCAGATTGTCCCAGCCGTGATTGCTGCAATGGGCAATGAGAAGAGAACGCGCGCGGTTTTTGTTACAGTCCGTTCCAAGACTGATGCGCCTGGCGTGAGCGAGCTGATGATCAAGTATTCGATCATCAAGATGAGTGGGGCAATGACTAGCCCGAGTCCAAGTCCGGCGACGGCGCGTAGACCCAACGTCATACTAGGCCATGTGATGAAAGAAATGTCGAATCCGACTGCCACTCCGGTAATGCTCGCAACGACAAGCATTGCCGTACCCGCCATCCGTAGTCGATGGCGGTCGTGATCGGAAACCCGACCTTCATTGACGGTGAGATCACAGCCGGCAAGATGCATCAGGAATCGTCCGACGTTTTTCATCTTTCTCTCCAGTTTTGGGTAAGTGATTTGAGTTCCGGCAGTGCGCCGTCGGACTCCCCGGTGCTATGCACGGGGTGCTCGAAGTCCAGGTTGTCCCGGATGTAGCGGTGTGTGAGAACGGCCCAGCGTTGGGCGACCGAACGCGCGGCACGAATGTTCGATGGCGCCGGTTCAAAGCAGATGTGAGTCAGTAGATGGTGTCGGTCCAGGTAACGGTGTGTCCGGTGCAAACCCGGATCACGCCGCTGGTATTTCGGTGCTTGAACAATGTAAATTCGCCAGCCCGCCGAGGTCGGTGCCAACCAGAAGCGGTACAACCAGGCCGGAGCGATGCAAACGGCATAGTGCTGACCTCGTGCGTACCGTGCGACGGATAGGATGTGATTGGTCTGGTTCATCTCGCAGCCCACCCTTTACTGGCTCGGCTGGGTTGCCTGGGTGTCGCTGATTGCTGCGGGGGGAGCGGATGTCGTCGGTGGTTAGGAAGCCAGCGCTTAAACATCGGCTGATGTCGCATTGTGGTTAGCTGAAGGGCATGGCTGCGCTTTAGCAACGGCAAACTGTGAGCCGCCTCGGCGGGTCGCTCAGGGACCCGAGGGCCGGTTCGCGGGGCTTGGTTCGGTTTCAGATGTGTTGATTGGTTGGGGATCATCGTTTCTCACCGGGTTGATTGCGGGGCTTGCAGGAAATATTGCAAGTCACAAGTTTTCCGATGCGGATCGGCCCGGATGAGTCTGGCTCGCTTAGGTCGATGGTCGGGACGGCTGCCGAAACGAATCGCGCTTCAATCGAGTTGAAGCGGGGTGATCCGACGGGCTCTGGTGTAAATTGCTGTTACGGGTACTAGCCGTACAAGCGAAGCCGCAGATTGCGGCTTCGCTTGTACGATAAAAATCAGTGAACAGAGGTAGGGAAGGAGAGACGTCTTGCCAGCTATTTATGGGTTCGAAGCGGATGGCATTCAGTCATTCATTTTTTCCAGAGCCCGGCTGCGCGATATGGTTGGCGCCAGCGCACTAATTGACCGAATTGCAGGAAACGATTCGTCTTTCTTGAATTGGTCGGTGCTCGAGGCGACCGGGTTGCAGAGCTCGGTGACCATAGGCCGC